TAGGTGATTGAATCATGATAAAATTTGAAGAAAAGAGAAAGAGATACAATCATATTACAATGATGGGTAAGGGGCTTAGGCCTAGCAGATAGAGTGGGTCCAACTAAATTTACAATGCGTTTTTGGACCTTGTCTACTAAAGAAAGAGATTCATAAGAAGAACCAGCCCAAATAGGACAACAGTATTCCATACAGGGACGAATAAGAAATTTGTAGAGGGAGAGAATGGAATCAGGAGTGAGAAAATGGCAAGCATGATAAAGAGAAGCAACCTTAGCAGATGCTAATAAAGCAATCAATTGTATATATGGTTTCCATGAAAAGTCATTAGTAAACAATAATCCAAGATGATGTAAAGAAGAAGATTCAGTGAGAGGGTTGCCATTAACAAATATAGGAATTTCGACAGCACTGCAATAGTTTTTGTCAATAAACAACTGACTTTTATTGGGGTTAAAATATACAAGCCATTGTGAGTCCCAATCTGTTATAGAAGAGAGATCAGATTCAAGATTGGCTGCCTGTTCTAAGCAATCAAAAAGAGAAGATTTTTTGTCAAGACAGAAGTATAAAGTTGAATCATCAGCAAAAAGAGCTACTTTAGATGTAAGGTTGTAATGAAGATCATTAATGTAGATAAGACACAAAACAAGATCAAAGATAGAACCTTGAGGTACCCAGAAGTTACAGAAAATAAAGAAGAGTGTTGGCCTTAAAGAATGACTTTAATAAAGCAGTTAGAAAGAAATAATTTGATAATTTTAAAAACCTTCCCAGATACAACTTATGAAACAAGCTTATGGAGAAAATCAGCATGTTAAACTTTGTCAAAAGCCTTAGATATGTCAAAAACAATAGTCCTAGTCTCTCTGCCTAGCAGGCAGGGAGTTTAGACAGAATTAAAGAGAGTTCTGGAGAAAAATTTTGTAAGACTATGACAGGAATGTTGTCTGGACCACAAGCTGTAGAAGAATTTAATTGAGATATGACTTAAGTAACAAAAGCTGGAGTGACTTGAATGTCTAACAAAAAATTAACATGTTTCATTGGAATGGAAGAAAGAGAATAGCCATAAGATTCGAGAGTCAAATTAGAAGAAAAATTATTGCAAATAGTTCTGCCTTATCCTAGGGAAAGGTAATAACGTCAGTCCCATGAATGAAAGATGGAATGTTAGACCTATCCTTGTTAACAATACTGTTGAAGATTTTCCTAAAGTCTCCGAAGCCTAAGTTCTGAGATAAGATACAAGATTTAATGAACTGAGAATAATAAAGTATTGAAGTACAAGATGAAAGATTTAAAGAGATCATAGCATCATCAGAACCACTTACGGGAGAAAAATGAGAAACTGAAAACAAGCTAGGAGACCAGACATAAATCAAGAAGTGAAGGTAAATGATTAGGGTTGTCAGAAAAACAAGTCACAAAGTTAACTATCTGAGTAAGAGATTGAGAAATAAAGAAGTTATAAGCTTTAGTACTAGCAGGATTAGTGGCATTAGAGCCAAGCCATTAAGTGTGATAAGCATTAAAGTTACTAATAATAACAATATTGGCAGAGGGGTAAAGAGAGAGGGCATGGTCAATTTGATCAGAAATTATATCTAAAAGAGTGCAGTCTTGAGAAGAAGGAGAATCATAAATAACAAAGAGAAAGGTGATAGAGTGAAAAGGTACTAGCAGAAGCAAATAAAAGAATGGTCAAAAGATTCGAACCTGATTTCATGACAAATAGGTGAATTGATGCATATGTATACCGCCAAGCCAAGCATGTGACTATTGAAGTCTTTGGAAATCAAAGGATAGTATCCATCAACACTGAGATCAAAAGAAGGAATAGCAGAATTTAAATTAGTCTCACAAAGAGCAAGCAAGTCTGATGGATTTAGCAATAGATAAGATTCAACTGATGGAAGGTTGCTTTGTAGACCACAAATATTAGTAAAAGATATATTAAAAAACTTAGGTGGTGGGGATGGTTTTTTATGTTTAGTATTTTGGGTTACTTTTGGCATGATTTAAGCTTTTGGAGAACTTGACTCATTCATAGATAGAGCATGGCTTCCTAAGCAATGAGCTATGCAATTTTCTCAGTCCGATTAATTAACCGCAAGTTGTAACATAGGTCATGTGGCCTCGATAATGTGCACCAAAAGCATTAACAGGGACACCATCCATGCGTAACATGGCACTGTTAATACTGATATTTTGCAGCTGTTGATGGAATCAGCCTCTCTGAGAGCTACCACAGAGTTCGGGAAACCCTACTACCAGCCAGCCTCAAAACCATTAAACTGAGTTTTAGAGCTGTACCATTATTAGGAGATAACAGGAAGAGTTGCATAGCCACTATCAAGGAGGCACAAGCAAAAACCTATGAAAAGAGTCAAGAAGATCCAACATTTATCATCCTAGGCAGGAAACAATGTAACACAGGTTTACATCTATGACAGCCTGATAGATGAAGAAGGAACTCAAGGCTTGTCAACAGAGTTATTTTCCTTATCCCAAAAGTCTTTGCCTAAGAGACCTTTGACAAGACAGTAGGTGGACACAGTTACATCTGTACAAGATGAGTATTTTTATCGAGACTCTAGCCTTTACTCAACCAAGAGCTCAAAGACAGGGGAATAATAAATATTTATACAAATAAAGAAGTTGTATGCTTCTAAAAACTTTTATGCTCTTATATTCTTTCTGGTTAAAGGACTAAGTGTATTAATAAAATATAGTTATATATCACCAAGTGATATATTAGGAACAATTGTTATGTTGTTTTGCCAGTCATCAATAGAAAATGGATCTGGCAAAACCAATCCATTTCCCAGTTATTTTTTCTTTGTATTTTGTCTGATCCTTATGATTAAGAGTTTGAAAGTGTTTTTAAATACTTCACATGATTTCTTCTTTTAAAGTTATTTATATAAAATATAATATAATTATTACAATAGATAAAACTTTTAAGTTTAATAATATATAGTTATATAATAATTCTATTTATATATCAGTGAAAAAAAAGTCTTTTTGTTGTTATATATCAATTTTTGTTTTTTTTTTACTGTCAAAACTGCATTGGTCTAGGTTTGAAAGTATTTTTAAATACTTTACATGATTTCTTTTTTTAAAGCCATTTATATAAAATGTAATATTGGAAAAACAAAATGCATCTTGCAACTCATCTATGTAAATACCAGTAAAATATTGAAACATGATAGCACAATTATTAGGCGCGTTAAAAAAGTCTTGTGCTTACTGGGTTTACACCATTCAAATAAAATTATCAAAAGTATTTATATAAATAACTTTATATATACAGTTCTATGTAAAGTTGGGCGTAAGCTTTAATCCTTGTTATGTATATATATGTTAAACATTACAAAAGGTTTAAATATTGACTATTATCAATCATTATTGAAAATGTTTAACCAAAACATAACATATATATATATATATGTATATATATATATATATATATATATATATATATATATATATATATATATATATATATATATATATATATATATATATATATATATATATAATATATATATATATATATATATATATATATATATATATATATATATAGTGTTTCAAAAAAACGCGTTTTTTTCACCAAAAAAACGTGTTTTTTTGGCGTTTTTTTTGGTTTTTTGGCGTTTTTTTGGTTTGGGTGTAGGTTTTTTTGGATTTTTTTTAAACTCTTATGGTATATTTGTTTACTAATTTTGTGTAAACAGAGTGTTTAGCCAAAGTGGTATAAAAATATTTGTCTTTTTGATTAGGAAAATGGCTAAACAGTTATATATTTTTTTTTAAATTTCAAGATTTTTGCCTCTAAAAAATTATTTATTTTCCTTATATTAAACACGAAAATGATTACCTTTTTTTATTTTGCAAAGCAGTGTTTTATATAATAAATATATTTCTTTCATATAGTAAAAATATTTATTTAGATAATTCTGATTCATTCCATTAAATAATACATTTATTATTATTCAAAAAAAAATTATGGATTAATGAAAAATTTAATGAACATAAGTTGAAGAAGTTGAAAAATAACTTTGTAATTTTAAAACCAGTGACAGATCCAGGGGAAATGAGAGGTATGAACCTACCACCCCGCACCAGAATCCATAAATTTATAAAATATCTTTAAATTTTTTTATTTTTTTTTAGTAGGCAAAAATGTGATACAAAATAAACTAAATTTTTAACAAGCCCTGATTCCCCCTCATACCCACACCAAAAATTCCCGGATCTGACTTATTTTGCGATGCAGTGTTACTTCATTCATATAATAAATTCTTAAAACAGTTCCATATTAAAAAAGATACAATTCATGGCCTTTACTTATAAAAATTTACTTCTTTGTCTTTACTTACAAGAATTATTATTAAAAATTATAAACAAAAAAAAAAAATTGTTTTTCTAATTAATGCTGCTTTTTCAATTTTTTTTTTTTTTGAATAATTGAACAATTGCTAAACTGAGACATTACTAAAAATATGGTAAATGGAAGTATTAAAACAAGTATTTAATAAATATAACCAAAAATAAATTTTAAAACCATTTCAGTGTTTAAAATGCAAAAAGAGTTGTTTTTAAGGCAAAAACGCAAAAAAAACAAAAAAAACAAAAAACGAAGTCCTCGTCTTTTATGTCCCAAATTTATTTAGACAACTCTGTATCATTTTTATATTTGTTAATGTTAAAAGATTTTAGGTGGTTCGCATACCGGGATTTAAATGGAGTCTCACATAAGCCAAAATATACTTTTTCTATTTGTAGTCAGGTTTATTTGATGACAAAATGACTTGATAAACGATGTTTTTTGTCAAGCACTGATTGTTCATGGGACAGATGGATTTGATTGTCAAGCAGTTTTTTCTACATTACTATTTGATTGTTAGATTGAAAAAACATTAACTGTACTTGCTTATAAAATTAATAAAACATTTTGTGTCACAGTGATTAACAAAAAATTTACTTACCGAACAACACAAAACAGATTAATGTTGGCATTGTAAACAGCAAAATCGAAAAATACAGCTCTTGTTCCACGATCAAGCCATCGATTACTCTAAGTATAAGATTATTTTAGGAAATAAATAATAAGAAACTCTTTTTCACATACTAAAATTTGATTTTATTGATAATTTTTTTAAAAACTTTTTTTGCTTAATTTCAACAAATTTAATCTTTAAAAGTATTGTCATATATAAAAATACAAAATAAATAACAAAAATAAGTTAGCAAAGGTTAAGTTAGCAAATTTTGGCAGATTGGTTAATGTTTACCACAAACATCATGGAATCTGAACAAACAGCTTTTAGGAATATGCGCATGTCAATTTGATATGAATATACGTAGCCAACAATTTTATCTACAACATAGTAATAATTTGGAAAACAAATAAAAACTTTATTTCTTTTATTTCTGTGTTTTCAATACAATTTTTTTTTTAACTATTTGCACAATTTCATGCAAGTTGACGAAGTAAAACTTAATTTTGTGTATTTTATATATCAAATTTAATAGATTTATTAAAAAAGGTTTATTAAAGAAGATAGCTAAAAACAATTTCTATATTTTTGTGTAACTTATTTTAAGAGAATAAATATCTACTTTAGATTTGGAGTTGGTTTAAGAATTTAAAACAAATATAAATCAATTAGGATTATAAAAGACTTTAAAGAACAAATATTAATGCCAATTACTATTTTAAAAATGCACTAAAAATCTTTAATGCATAAAAGAAAACTAAAAATTGAAAGCTTTTAGGATTAAAACAAAAAAGAAAAACAGGCAAAAATCAACTTTAAATTCAATACTAATAATAACTATCAGAGTCAGAGAGAATTTTTTTGAGAGAAGCGGTTTATAGACTTTTTTTCAATTGTTAGAATTGTTGTTTAAACTGGGTGGTGCTAGAGTGGTCAAATGTGATCCAGAATGCACAAAGTAATAATACCCAGTACAAATATATGTATATATATACTTGATTAAGCGGTAGTGGTGTAGTGGTAAAAACACTCGCTTCATAAACGAGAGGTTCCGAGTTCGATCGCCACCACATCCCTGGTAGTACCGCGCTCAACTTGTTTCTCCGTGCAGCGGCCTTGTTGTCAAGGTTTGTGTTTCGGAGTTATAGAATTGTTTTCTCATAAAAAATTATACAATACTAACCTATACTTTGCATGGCAGCACTATATCTGCTGTTTATTCTATCCTGATTTTCTGTGCAGGGTACAGTGAGATTCTTATGTTTTAAAAAAGAAATTAAGCTTAAGGAAAAGTGTATTCTTATGTGAAAATAAATTTCAAGATTTGCTATGGACCACTTTTTGATTGGAAAACATCTTGATAAACAAATTTTCACATTTAGGCATTATTAAAATTAAACTAAATTCGTATAAAATAAATATAACCCATTTTGGGTTGTATGAAATAAATATAACCTGTTATGGTTATACAGTCAAAGAAATAAAATAGGTGAAAAGTCTGACAAACAGAGGGACATGCTGATAACATTGAGACAATTAAATATATAAAAATCAAAAGAGAAAAGTCAGTGATGAAGGTTATCAGAAAAGAATTATAAAACTACTAGATAATTAATCATGATTCAAGGTAAATATAAGTTTGTAGTAATACTTTTTTTTGTTTATAAAGTATACTATCGTAACTATATATTATTATTATTATTATTATTATTATTATTATTATTATTATTGTATATTATTATATGTATTTTTTATATATACATATATAAATATAAATTATATTATATATATTAATGCTTGGGTGATGAGTTTAAGATAAAAATAAACATTAACTAGTTTTTTTTTTATAGGTTAGGGATTTCAACTGCTGCAACTGTAGCAATTGCTACAAGTTATCTGCAAGATTTAATCGAAGCAGGATTTTTCGCCCCTGAATCCTCTTACCTTGCTTATGATCTTTCTAAGCTTAAAAAAGTCATGGTAGATGCAAAGAAAAATGATAATTCAAACTTCCAAATACAGATAATATTGGTGTTTACTTTGATGAAAGGAAAGATTCAACAAGAGCAATTCTAAATGATTCAAACACACAAACACATCCTGTTATTATCAAAGAGCAACACATTACCGTGCTTTTAGAACCTGAAGAAGATTGCTGAAGGTATTTATTTTTTGCTGATACAGCATAATCTTACTGAATCATGTTTATTACTTAGAGCAGATAACACTTCAATTAACAACAGCTGGAAAGGTGGTGTTATAGCACATCTTGAAAAGCTGTTAGGTCACAAGTGCCACATTTACATATGCATGCTTCATTCAAATAAGTTGTTTTTGAGTGACCTATTAGAAAGAATTGTTGTACCAAGTTTCATCAAAATCTGAGGGGGTCCAACATGGACCCCCTCAGATTTTGATGAAACTTAGTGGGTTGGTTTATATCAATGACAAAAGCAATTTATGAAAATTTCAGCTTACAATCTTTTGCAGTTCATGAGATATTGCCATTTAAAATTTTTGATTTTTCCAAAAATTAAAACTTTATTAGCAAAAACATGTTTTGTTCATACTTTGAAGCTCTGAATTTTAAAAACAAAATTTCAGAAAACTTTCTAGTTTTTTTTATTATATACAACTGTAGCCTTACTTTGTTAAAACTTTGACATTTAATTATCACATTTGATCCAAAATGGCTGCCTAAAAAACCTAAAAAGTTGTTTGCAGATATAAAAAGTTGATTTTTGATGGGTCAATATACAAAATTAGCAACATAAGAAGTGAAAAGACATACCTTTTTAGTTTCTATATATGGTAGGCTTCCTAATTTTTAAAAATTTACTGATACGATTCAGTAAGAAATAATGGACTCCAAATATTAGCTCCAGAAAAAAACTATAAAAATTGTGCCTTCCTTTTAAACCACTGGTAACCTAGGATCAACACTGATTTTCATAATAATTTTTTTTTTTTACTGATTTAACAGACTTTAATATAGTGAATTGAGAAAAAAAAAGTCAGAGCAATGAAGTTGGCACAAAATGCATTAAAAACAATAAAAATATAGATATATAATGCAAAAAATATATATATATATATAAATATATCATAACCATTACTAGAAATAAGCTATAAACTAAGACTGAATTAAAATCAGTTTTTAAATAACCTTAGTTGCCTCCCCTCCCCCCTGTCCATTTACTTTTTAACATCCATATTTTTGCACAGAACATACTTATCATAAGAAGAACTTTTTTCTTAATTAATTTTATTAATTAGTTATTGAACATTTTACCTTAAGCAGTGTGTCATATAAAAGCTGTGACATTTAGTTTGTAAAGTTAGTAATTGGAGCACATATAAAAGTAGCACATAAGGTAAATAATGAAAATAAAGACTTTTTGTTTTATTCTTACAACCTGCCCCACACATATTTGTTTTCATATCACTTATTTTCTTAGTAAGATAATCTGTAACCTAAATTTAAATGATAATAATCAAATAAATGGGGAAGGGCAGGGTAGCAAATGCTTGAAGAAAAATTATATAAAATTTATAGTCAGAATATGAAATAGTAAGAAATTCTTACTATTTCATATTCTGACTATAAATTTTGTATAATTTTTCTCAAAGCATTCGCTATCTGCATTCTTTCTAATTTATTCGCTACTTTGCATACTTCCTAATTTATTTGATTAACATCATTTAAATTTAGGTTACAGATTATACCAAGTGATAAGAATTATTTGATTTGTCATCACAATACACCAGATTAAATCATTCAAATTTGCTTTAATAAAAAATTTGAATTGATCAAATTAATAACAATATTGCAATGTTGTTATATAATTTTGTTATTATATATACCATTGTACAAATGTAGTATTTTCAGTTTTTTTATGAGCTGATAGTTCAAAGTATCTAACAGTTGCTGAATACACTTTTAAAGATGAAATTTTGCATAGAACATGTGTAATTGGAACTCAGCAAATATCTTATCTATGTGGCCAAGTAAAAGTGTTTGAGGAAATAGACTGCTTCATGAACTTTATAAGGATATCTTGATTTTCTTCAGATATTTCTACAATATAACCTAAGAACCATTTTTCATCATAAACACATGCTATATAAATTCCTGGTGAAAGAGAGGCAAGTGGAATTATGAAAGAGAGGCAAGTACAATATTTCTGCTGAATTGTTGAAATATTTACATTAGTAAAAACATTGTCGAATGACACCCGTCTTATCTGTAAAGTCGTTATGATTTTGGTTTAAAACAATGGTGGTTTCTTGCTCCTGGAATTGTTAAACAAGTAGCATAACATTCTTCTAATTTAAAATTTATGCAATGTAATGTAACTGTATCATTTGAAATGTATTGAAAATGAATTACTAAATGTATATCAATAAAATCACCCACTGGAAGAGTTACTCGAACTATATCATGTTTTTTGTTAGCTTTTTGCCACTGATAACATGTGATTTTTTCAATGCTACGTTTATCAAATATAGTAGTAAGATACTATTTAAGTGTGTCAGTATCTGGCCAATTGTCACAACTGTGCAGCATGCAGTCTCGATTTGTTAAGTTACATACAACTAATGCAGGGTTGCCACTTAACCTGGAAAACCTGGAATACCTGGAAATAGCATGAGTCACAGGGAAAACCTGGAGAAATTTTTTAAAAATTTTAATAAAATTTAGGGAAATAATTTTTTTTTTTTGAACTTTTGTACAATATATATTTTTTTTAATATTTTGCTAATACATATAATAATAATAAATTTGCAAGATATGGATGTTGTTGTAAAAGTTTTAGTTTGTCAAATATAAAGATTGTGTTTAAGAATGAAAAATATTAATCTCATTAATGAACCGGAAAGAATATAGAAAAGTCAGGGAAAAGTCAGGGAACTTAAAGAGTTCAACTCAGAGGAAAACACTTTTTACTCAGGGAATACTCAGGGAAAAACTTTAAAAAAATTATAGTGGCAACCCTGTAATGTCAAAAGATTTTTATATTCTAAAATATCTGGTATTTCTAATGTTAAAAGTTTGGCATTCTGACGGTACTTACAA